AGTCATTGCCCCAGGTTATTTTGGGTGGATGAACTTCAAATTCCCCATAATTCAGACCATGTCACCACTCACGTTCAAGAAAAAGGCTTGAACTTGTGTTGCAAGGTGATGGAATCTGATGACTTTTGCATAAAAAACAGTGATTTTGAAACAAGTATACATAAAATACAAAAAATATTTTTCATTATTTTAAAATAAAATCATGTAATTCACTTTTGTATGGGGCAAACGCCTCCTCCATTATGTAACAAAAGTACTCTAAGAAGTATCATTAAGGTATATATAAGTTTGGTCTATTAATTTTTTTCTCATAAAGAGGGAATTTTTCTGAAGCACAAGAAAACCCCAAAAAAATCCAACCAGAAAACCCCACAAAAAGCCCAGTAAAAAAACCCCTCCAAGAATAAGAGTAATACACCAAAATGAACCAACCAAACAAAACAACTCCACCTACCAAAAGGAAACTATTTTACAAATTGTATCTTTTTCTTAGACTCAACTAATACTAAAAGCAGTTCCTTTCACATAGTCTCTTACAGCGTCAATCAACTCATCTACACCAATCTACCTTAATTTAAAAATGGACTGGGGACAGGAATCCTTTGAACTTCCATCTGCAACTCTCACAGCAGAAGCCTTGAAAAAGGGCAAGGGTATTCTGCAGTATCTACTTTTCACCAAGCCCACAGGGGCAAAATTCAGGAAGTTTCAATTTGTAACATTCCAGGTTATTCCCGTCCACAGGGAACCATGTGCAAAACAACAACTGACAGCAGAGAAGAAATACTTAGTGCAGAAGTAGCTTGGTAAAAGACTAAGACAGGTACTGATCTCACAGCAAGGCAGGTATTAGTAGATCCCTGAATGTTCAAGCAACCACAGTGGTTTCTATGCAGCCTGTTGTTTGTCTTCCTCTTAATTAAACAATTGATTAAAGATCTGGTTTTAATGCTCAGAAACTTAACTGGATGAGAATAAAGCTTTCTTCTGTACATTTAATTATGCCTTTGACTGACACTCTGTACACCTTAATAAAATTTTATTGAATCACAGATGGTGTAGACTTTGAGGGACCTCTGGAGAGCATCTGGTCCCATCACTCTGCTCAGGCAGGGCCACCTGCAGAAAGCTGTCCAGGACCATGTCCAGACAGTTTCTGAATATCTCTGAAGATGGAGAGTCTGCAACATCTCTGAGCAACCTGTGTGAGCACTCAGTGGCTCTACAGTAAAAAAATAATTTTCATGACTGACATTGAAGTTTTCTCTCAGGCCAGAAAGTGAAAGACTGTGAGAATGTCTCTGATTTGCCCTGTGTTTTTGACCATGTGCAACATATAACCCTAAGTATGGTACTTACCAGGATCAGTTTTTGAACTTTAAACTGAAAAAACACAACAAGGAACCCCAAACACACTTGTTTATCTTCCTAGGTTTACAGCAGACTTTCAGTAACAAAAGTTATGAAAGCTAGATCAAAATATAGTATTTATCAGAAGATCTTAAGGTTTTTCTTCCCAATGTGAAATTTTTCTCTTTTGGAATTTAGAATCTATTTGGCAAAACAAAAATAAAATATAAAATAAAATAAACCCAAAACCAAACAACAGAAACCACAACTCCTCCATTTCTCAAAATTTTCTATAAATCAACAAAGTGTTATAATTTTAAATTAAGTATTTTCCTGCTTTACTGCTTCATTTACTACTGAAAACTAAAGAAAAAATTGTGCTTAAATATCTCACTGTGGAAATAACTAGGAAAACCTCTGCTCATTGAACAGAAATATGACACAAATACAAAAGAAGTTATTTATTGTGGTTTTTTTATTGTGATTTTAAAAGTTTGTTTCCTAGAAACTCAACTGGCTTGATTGAAGGACAACGTAACTTCTTTTCCCTAACAAAGTTAGAGCACCTGAATCAATGCAAAGGACGAGTTCTTCGTTCAGCCTTCTTAAAATTTTCTGGACATCCTCTACACAGCTCATTTCTAACACCTACTTCTACTGCTCATTTGTGGCAAATGAACTACTTGTAGAGAGTTCAGCTTGTTTTCAAGACACTTCACACTGGCAAGCTCAGGTACTGCAGAAAAGAAATACCAGTCTGCAGATATTGAGGTAGCTGAGCTGTTTGTTTTTCAAAAGGTTTCCTGTAATGATGCCTGGGAATAATAAAAAAAAAACAAACAAACACACAAAACAACAACAATTCAAATAAAAACCAGCAAACCCAAGGAAGTTAACAGCCTTGATCAAGTCAGCTTATTCTATTTAGGTGGCAAGCAAAGTTTAGATCTTAGCATGTTTGCAATTTTCTATTTCATAACCATTCCTTCCTTGGAATCTTAATACATTTAGCATTAAGGACTGCACATCATGTTCTTCCCTTTCCTTTCCATTCTACCACATCTCCCATTCCCAGAGTGTAGAATCAGGAAGTTTCATAGGACAGAAGCAGAGATAAGTAAGAGAAGGAAATTACAACTAATCTCTTGTATTCAAAAAGCTTGTTCTTTATCCATAACATCAAGTCCTGGGGGGGAAATAGTACCTTATTGAAAAAGAAAAGGAAAAAATGTCAGAATACTTATAGGGGTGGAGCACCTCTTCTATGAGGAAAGGCTGACAGAAATGGGGTTTTTCAGTCTGAAGAAAAGAAGGCTCTGGGGAAACCTTATAGCACCTTCCAGTACCTAAAGGGGATACAAGAGACTTGAAGAGGAACTTTCTGCAAGGGCATGTAGTGATAGGAAAATGGGGAATGGCCTTAATATGAAAGAGGGTAGGTGTAGATTAGACATAAGAAAGAGAGTTTTTTAACAATAAGGGTGGCAAAATACTGGAACAGATTGCCCAGAGAGGTGGTGGATGCCCCATCCTTGGAAACATTCAAAGCCAGGTTGGATGGGGCTCTGAGCAACCTAATCTAGTTGAAGATGTCCCTAATCATAGCAGAGGGGCTGAGCTACATGACCTTTAAAGGTCCTTTTCAATCCAAATTATTCTATGTTTCTATGATTCACTGCTGCCAAAAAATTATGGAAACAGCTGTAAGGCCTACTGGGAGCAGGACGTGAGAGAGTGGGTACAATGAAGAAGAATTCAATGGTCACAAAATGTAATCTAGTTAGCATACAAACACTGTATGACTAAGGCTTGGCTTGACCAGGACCATACTTGTGATTCATTGCCCTTTTTTCATCCTCCAGTTACCAATCTCAATCCTTTTATTTTCCAAAAGATATCATGCAAGCACAGGTAGGGTCAATATAACCAACAAAGATGATATTCAGAATCCATTGCTCTAATACCTGCTAGTGTGTACTGAATAGTAGTACACCATTAGAAAGCAGAGAAAAAACCTACACGCAGAAAGGTTTTTCCAGCACCCACAAATCTAGGCTGTTCCCAAAGCAGGCTTCCTATGGAGTCCCCTACCAAAGTAGAGACTTCTGTCTAAGAAAAACATCAACCAGCACCTTCCTATCATGAAAAAATTGTTCCAAGGTAAACAGGACTACAGCTGCTCAGCTACAGCCAACCAAACTTCTCTTTGAACCATTACAGCTAAACACAAGGTCAAGATTTTAATTCTAATTACCCAGATTAATGCTTGTGTGACACTCCTTAAACAAGTCAGGTTCAGTGCCATCTAACTCAGCTTTTAGTATTCCAGCATGCCATTCCATGCTGAGAAGTACCTCAGCAGACAAAATTCTCCCAAGCATAAAATTCTTACTACTAAATTATGCTAGTAGTTATGCCTCCTCAAAAACATTTCAATCAAAAAGAACAATTATTTGCCCAGTTAAACATTCTTCATCTTAGCATATGATTATAAAAACCAAAACCCAAACCATTTAAAAGTCTATATGATACTAATGTTTGCTTATGCAGACTTGACAGCAGTCAAACATGATGTGTTTTTTCTAACAATTTTATAGTAAAAAACTGTGCCTATAGTCAGGCTGTTGTTGGGAAGAGTTTATTGTAACCACTACAATAGAAGATGTTTACTTCTATGACATAAACCCAAGTTTTGGTAAGTAGTTATCAAGCTGACAGAGATAACTCCTGCCTAAATCAAGTTTTATCTAAAACATTAGAAGGCAGCAAATTTTACATAGAGGTGTCCTTGTGGAACACTGCAGAGATCTTGCACAGAGTTTACTGTAAAACTAAGTTCAATTATCCATTCTAGAACCTTTTAATAGCTCCTTTCCCAACCATTAGACCAGCATAACCAAATAGACATTTCATAGTACATATCAAAAGTTCAGCAGCAAGTACCGAAGTACAGTCACCAGTTGGCTTTATCTTTTTATTTGAAAGCAAGCCACAGAAACCATGTGCAAGCACACATTATTCCACTCAATCTCTTTGCAGGACTCAAACTTTTAAGGGAACAACTTTACAAGCTTGTGCAGAATGCAATGAGTAGTTTCATATGAATACATGTGTCATGGCTTAGGCAAACCAGCACAACATGCCAGGACACAAGGTATTCCAGCTCACATATTGTCACTTCTCATTCTATGTCCGCAAAAGAAGATTAGGAATACTGCCTGGTTGGAAAAAGCTTTTTAGTGCTGGCTTTTAGACATATCAAAGCTCTATCAGTAAAGTCCCATGTTCTCTTCAGGAGTCTACAAGTCTTTAGTAAGACAGAGGACAGAAATATTTAAGTAGTTTATCAAATACAAACAGTTCCATTTCAACTGATACCACGGGTAATATTAATTCAATATTTAGCAAAAATGTCAGCTATTTTAAAATCTGAATTTTAGTAATAAAGCATGAGATATTTGCTCACAGTTAAGGGTTTAACATTCATTACAGAAAATTCTGAAGAAAGAGTGCTAATCTAAAATCATCTGGTATTCTTGTAATAGTAAAAAAAAAAAAGAAATCAAACCAAAACCACAAACAACTATCACAAACAAAACAAAACAACCATACAAACAAGCAAAACTCCAAACCTTTGTCAGACCACTCACCCGCAACGCTGGTAATGGTAACAGGAACTCCTTGAACTTGAACACCTGCAGCACTCAGGTTGGCAACACTTACTGTTTGAAGATTAGGTACTGAAGCAAGCTGGGCAGCGTTCAGAGTGATGGGGGTACCAGCAACAGCCACCGGAGCAATCTGGGCAATGGTTGTGCCACCACTTGAAGACACAGGAGTAATGGTTAGTTGTTGGGGTAACCCAGCATTTTGAACTTGCAGATTTGAAAGGCTTTGCAGATTCTGAACCTGCACGGTTTGCCAGCTGATCTGTCCTGATGGTGTTAAAGTTGGAGCCCTGATGAGCACCTGAGTTGGGCTCACTGCCTGCAGTTGAACATTCTGCAAAGGCTGCTGCTGGATGGTCTGTATAGTCTGCCCTGACTGGAGCTGAAATGACTGTGGAGGAATGGCCTGAATAATCTGCTGTTGAGGCTGCTGGATCTGTATCTGCTGCAGAATAGGCTGACCTACGATCTGGACCTGTTGAAGGGAACCTGACTGATCCTGGACGTTCTGTAGTCCATTGGACTGAAGCTGACTGGAGCTCTGGGCTTCAGAGTCTGTGGCAGTTGTTTGGGGTTCTTCAGTCGCCTGCTCTGAGCTGCTGCCTGCTGTGCTTGTGTATTGGCCTGTTTCTGCAGAGCTGACCAGTGTGTCACTGCTAGTCAGAGATGTTGAGGCAGTGGTGGTAGCAGTGGAAGATGAGGAAGGAGACTCTGGCATGGTACTACCAGAGGCAGAAGTGACAGGTGTAGACGCCAGCTGATTTCCATTGGAAACTCCACTCTCAGTAGACTGGCCAACTTGCCCTGAACTTCCTCCAGTGGCAACGTTGTTAATCACAGGCAAAGCCAGGGTCACCCCACCAATGTTTATAGGTAGCGTTGTTACAACTTGTGCCTGAGTACCAGGAATAGTTTGCAGTTGCAGTGGTATGGAAACACCGGGCCTAATTTGGACTGGAACTGTCTGATTTGCTAGATTTTGAGCAATAACATTTCCTGAAGCTGTCCTGTTTGCAGTTGTGAGGATAGCTTGATTATTCCCTGCAGGAATAAGCTGAATTTGACCCTGTATGTCTTGTATGCCAGTAGCGTTGGATGGATTGATTTGACCTTCCGTTGTCTGAATCTGTGGAATCACTTGGTACTGGACACTACCGCTTGGATTCTGTACTTGAATGACTTGGAACTGTCCAGGGGTCGTTGTAGAAGAATTGCCTGATTTGGTTTTTGAAGGAGATGTACTTCCATTGTTACTGCTGGAGGGACTTGCTGCACTTGAGGCAACAGAAGATCCTTGCTGAGCAACATTATTTTCTTTTGAAGCAGAAGGAGCAGCGGCAACGAGCTGCCAAGCATTTCCAGCTAGCTGAGTTGTTACCAATTCCAACTGCTGTGGCTGATTCTGAAGCTGCACCAAACCTTGATTTGGGTCTATAATAATCTGCTGCTGTCCAGTTCCTTGATTCTCACCAGGAGTTCCTATTTTGCTGCAAGTGGCTGCTAGCAAAGCGAGAGGTGAAGGCTGAGAATCCTATCCATAAAAAGAAAACAGAAAGGATTCAGGACAAGAGTGCAAGTATCAAGCATCAAAAGTGAGCATTAAGGTTTGCACAGGAAGCCAAAAAAAACCCCAACAAGGTGCTTCTGCACAGAGACCAATGATACAGCTCTGAATAAGGAAGTATGAATTGCTGTAAATAATCTTTAAACATAATGCTCTTAAAAGTCTTTAATTATCAATGATTATGTGACAGCCAAGACCTCAACTGCATCATCAATTCAGTCTTTTTTCCCCCTCAAAATAAAGAAAAAAAGTAAAAATGCTTCTATTACATGGAAAGCAGCTGATCACTGCAAAATGCAACCAAACAAACATGTCCAGGCAGTAAAAACACTGCACCCAACCAACTGTGCTTCATCCAACCCAAAGAAAGATGCCCTGAGCAGGAAATGCTGTTAGCTGAACATTTCATTTTAAATGCTAATAGTTTGGGCACTTCCCTATTCGGGTGTGTGTTCTTTACCTGTGAGCCTCCAGTTTTCCCTTTTTTATTATTATTGTTGTTATTCTCTGCCTCGGGAGATTTCTCTCCCTCTGTGGGCATAGTTTCCTCCTTCTTTTGATCTGCAAAAATATCAAGTGTAACAGGTTAATTATTCACCTTCATTTATACAATAACAAAACCTACGAGCATATCCTTTTCGGTTCCCAGCTTGTCGCTTTTGCCTCTTTATAAAAACAACAGTACAAATCATTATTACAAAAGAACGAGTCCTAAGAAACGTGGTTTGAAACCCAACCCATGGGGGCTGGAGAGTTAACACCCAGAAAGGGGAGGTTTGGTTTCCTCTCCCAGAGACAGCAGGAAAAAACCACCCACAACCCTCCTCCTCCTCCTGCCCCCTAAAGCATCGGCGGCCACTCAGTGGCCGTCGATGCTTTAGGGGGCAGGAGGAGGGTTGTGCATGGGAGGGAAAGAGGGAGGAAAAGAGGAATGAAGGAGGGAAGGATGTGCTCAGGAGGGAGGGTTAGCGAAGAAAGGGGGAATGGAGGAGGGAGGTACGGAGGAGGCAAGCCGGAGGGGCAGGCGGGAGAGGAGAAGAAAGGGGGCATAAGAGGAAGCAGCACGGATGGGCGGAGGGGCAGCGAGAGAAGATCGGGGTAAGAAGGGGGAGAACAGAGGGAAGAAAAGGGGGAACCCGGGAGGGCGGGATAGAGGGGGGATGAAGGGTGGAGGGAGGAGCAGAGGGAGGGAGGGGTGTGCACAGGAGGGAGAGAGGGAGGGGGTTACATACCGCTCATCCCGCATTAATGCCCCGCTGAGGCGCCGCTCTAGGGGGGAGGAGAAGGAGGAGGAGGAGGCGGAGGGTGGGGTGGGGGTAGCGGGGAGAAGGCCGGTCGCAGCCGGAGCTGGGAGGAGCGGGACGGCCTATTTTTCCACGAATGGCCGCCGCTGGGCTGTGGCGTAGCTGCCTCTCTCTCCGCCCGCCGCTGCCGCCGGCCTCAGCCCGCCGCCTTGAGTGACAGCTGGGGCCCGGGGTGGGAGGCGCGGGGGCGGGGCCCGCCGGGGCCCCAACGACGCCCACTGAGCAGGAAACCGAGCCCAGCCGCCGGCCCCTTGGTCGCCCCGCTCCGCCTCAGCCCGGCTCCCCACGCCGCAGGCACAGGGGGCGGGCCGGGGGCGGGCCGCGGCCCGGAGCCCTCGGCCTCCTCCTCCTCCTCCCGGCCCTCTGCCCGTCCGCGCCGCGCGGAAGGGGGCGTGGCCGCCGAGGCGCGCGCGCTCCGCGGGGGCGTGCGGGAGGCCAGGGCTTCCGCGCTCGCTCCGCTCGCTTGACAGCGCCGGGCGGAGGGGCGGGCGGGGGGCGGAGCCTCGGGCGGGGCGGGGCGGGGCCCGGCCGAGCCCTCAGCCCCGGGTCCCGCCGTGGCTGGGCCCGATGATGGACGGCGCGCGCGTCCCGATCGCCAGCGAATCCGACGAAGGGACGGGCGGGGCCGCGCGCGGCCGCCGGCCAACCCGGTGGCGCCTGCCCGCCTCGCGCGCTCGTAACTGACAGCGCGCGGGAAGCCCCCGAGCCGCCGCCTGCCCTGAGGCGCGGCCCCCGCGCCCGCTTCCCCGGGCGCGCAGGGAGCGGGGAGGAGACGCCCCTGCGGCTCCCACACGGCAGCCGGGGCCCGTTCGCTCGGCCGCCTCTGTGCTCCTTTGTAACTGCCTCCCGCGCCAGCCTTCCGCCTGCGGGCGGGGGAAGGGTGGCTCGGGGAATGCATCCGCACCTGCTGTGTGGAGGCGGGAGCGGCTTTCTCCCTCGCCATTGGCTCGGTCGCAGTGGTGGGCGCACGCGGCACGCCGGGATATGTAGTTCTGGGCTGGCGGTGGCGACGAGCGCGCATGCGTGGCGGCGGTGCCCGGCAGGTGCCTTCGGGGCGGGTCAGCCCTGAGGCGCCCGGGCTGTGCCTCGCTGCAGCTTCACAAAGCGGGAGGGGCTCCCCGGCGCGCTGTGCTGGACTAGGCGCGTTGTTGCTGGATTAAAACCAGATGAATTACCGTGGTGCTGTTTTTTTTCACCCGATGCTTGTGCTGCTGTTCCCTGCGGCTTCGGCCCCGCTCAGCCTGGCTGGTTTGGAGCGACAGCTGGGCAAGCCGAAGCTGGTCGTGGCAACTATGGTGGATCTACAATAACCACCTCCATGGCAAAGCCTGTTAGTGTTACTCAGATTTTGAAAAAAAAAATGGTGTACGGGTGCAAATTTTGTCCGTTAAAATTTTCTATGCCATGTGCCCAAGCTGTTTGTCAAGTGCAAAATCACCAGCCTCCATAATGAATAGTGGCACAGAACACCTCTCCTACAAGGGAAAGCTGAGAGACTTTGGATTTTTCAATAGTGAAAAGAGGAGGCTTAATGGTTAACCTTTTTTGCAGCCTTCCAGTACCTAAAGGGAGCCTACAAGAAAGATGGAGAGAGACTCTTTGCAAGAACTATCTGTAGGACAATGGGGGTACGACTTCAGTCTGAGAGTACGTTTAGATTAGATACTAGGAAAAAATTCTTTACTGTGGAGGGCTGGGACATTGGAACAGGTTGCCCAGAGGAGTTGTGTATGCTCCATCCCTGGAAGTGTTCTAGGCTAGGCTGGATGGAGTTCTGAGCAACCTGGCCTAGTGGAATGAGTCTCACATGGCAGAAGGGTTGGAACTAGATGATCTTTAAATTCCCTCCCTGTGCAGGGCATTCTATGATTCTAGGATAAGTCAAGGATGAAAGTACCAAAGCAGGTCTTTACCAGCTGTTCAACAGTTTCGTCCTCCAAAGGGAGGAGACCATCCTCCCCTCAACCCCTACTTCAGGCCTCCAACAAACCCTTTGGAGGAGAGGAAATGTAGAAATACCATTGTAGAGTAAGAAAGTGATAGACATAAACATGATACAGGCTGTTTCCAGACATTGTACAGACAGAAAACACAGATCACAAGTAGAAAACCACAGGATAGAATAATCTGGGTTGGAGGGACCCACAAGGATCATTGAATCCAACTCGTGTTACATTGTCCTAGCAGTGAATGAACTACTATGAACATAACATTGCCATTGCTCTGAATCTCTGGTCTGTTATGTTGTATTGTAGTGGTGAGCCACCAGAACAGACCAACTCTTGGGCCAAAGGAACTTCCTTCACAGGAAGTTTTTGAGAAGTTAGGATGTGCATATACCAGGCTGCTCTGGAAGTGTTTGATTCCACCTCAGTGCAGGGTTGGACAGAGTAATTTTCTGAACTCCTTCACAATTCTGTAGTTCCAAAGGTTTCTGTTTCATAAAGAGACAATTTTCTTGTGTGTCAGTCAGCGTGGTGTGGTTTTATTCCCAGAGCATAGCTCCATACTTTTGAAAGGCTTACCCACTGTAGTAGTGAAAATTAAAAACTACATTCCTGAAATTCACCCATTTCCTAACAATGTACCAAAGAAAAGTACACAAAAAAGTATCACACATAACTAGTTAAGATTGCTTCTTCTCTGTTTTTGACAGTGAAAATGAATATTCACTTCTTTCTCCCCTAAACTGTCCAACACAGTTATTGTGAACTGAGATTCTAAGGACATCCCACTATTGTACTTTTAAAGAACGTAATTAAAGCTCCCTTCTTTCATCTATATATTCCCCAAAACTGCTTGAATTCCTGCTCTATCTTCATGGCAATTTTTCTTTTTGTTTCACAGTAACAACAGTTGGGAAGGGATCATGACCCCACAAAAGCTGAATTATTTGTGTTCAGACAAGCAAGGGGTAGTAGCTCACAGTTTACAGCTCAGCCAAATCCCAGTGCCTCCTAGTCAGTGCCAGGGAGCAGCAAGACTCGGGCTTCCTCCTTAGAGAGTCCACTGCCAAGGCAGGGCAGTGCCCTCCTGGTCAGGGCACCACCCTTCACATCCAAGCAGCTTTGAGGGAGTGACAGGACCTGCTGGTGATCCAGTGGTTATCAGAAGAGCAGGAGACTGAGCCACCTCCAGCACAGGGTCAGGGCTGAGCTCCATGAGAGCTCCAGGCTCCCTGGACAGTGTGTGGGTGTGTATGGTCAGGCTGTTCAGAGCATCAGAGCTTTCCTGTGCACTCAGCTCTGGGAAACGGAGTATGGGGCACCTCCTGAAGGAAGGGATATATGAAGAACAGGCAAATGTGCTATATGTGCTATCGAGGTCACTCTCCTTTTCTCCTTTTTTTTTTTTTTTTTTTTTTTGAGAGATGGAAGTTTTAAGTTCTATGCAATCTTTTAAACTTTCACTGGATTTCCATCTGAGGCTGTAGGTACAGTGTTTTTGAAAAGTCTGCTCTAGGGTGCAAAGAGTAAAATCTGTCTCAACTCAGCAAGTGATTGAAGTGACAGATAAATGATGGTGGTGGTGTAGGTGGTTTCAGTAGGGGCACCATGATTTTCATTTTTTATTTTTACCATCCATAGTTACTCCTATACCACCTACTCTTTCCCAAATTCCAAATGTCACTCTTGCTCAAATTCTTTCTGCCAGCTTAAGCTTTCTGAGTCTGCCCCTTTCAGCATTGTTCCCACATGAACCAGCACCTTCCCTTTGCACTCTGACATGTTGTTCTCTGTGGGCTTTGATTGAAGTCAGCAGCAGTCACCTGTTGAGTTACATGAAAGAACGATCAGGTCTGAGGACCTGTTGGCACAGGGATTCCGATTGCTAATGGGGATCTATGAAAGTAAAACATCAGAAACAGGAAAAAAATAAACAAACGTCTTTCATTACCACTTTCTTTCAGGCTCAGAACTTTAGAAGTGTGTTGTCACCCAGGAAAAGAGCACAACATGGAAATGTGTGGGTGAGCAGAGACCCACTGAAATATGAGGTTCCTGGCAAGATGTAGCTCAGGCATAGTATCACTTGAGGGTGGCTGGTTTGCACAACAGCCCAAACTAAGAAAATCCACTTAATGCTGAGTCTCTATTGATTTGAGTCTCTCACAGTGTGTATATATTTTAACTACAAAGAGCTTAGCTCCTTGTTTTTCATACTTTATCTTTTCTCTCTATCCATATGTACAGTTTTGTCTCTCTTGTTTGTTAGTTCTTCTATGTTTTGTTTCTGTTTTTCTTTTAATTTTCTTTATTTTCTCTGACTTTTTCCTGTGTGAATTTAATTCCCTGTGTCTTGCTTTTCCCATTATTTTTGGCTACTTTCTTTCCTTGTTCTAATAGCCACCCTTTTCTCCACCTCAAAAATATTCTCTCACCCTAAATCCCTACCTAAAGCCCCACCATTCTTTTTTTTTTTTTCCTCCCCCTTTTTAAGCTCCTAAACTCTCTTCTTTATCACTTCTGGCTTGCTCTTTAAGCTGTCTGTGGCATTCATTGATTTTTCACCTAATGAACTGACTGATATTTTTGAGCCTATTAGGCATGACTCTATAGAGCACAGTGGGGCTTGTAATGCTGAACAGAACAACATCAAATATCTTTACAAAGGGAAAAAAAAAGAGGGGGCGTGAAGGGGGAGGGAAAGACAGCTGTCTGCGTGCTCCAGTTTCATTGGTTCCCTTCTCTACTCTCTGCCAGCCCTTGCATAGGTTGCGTTTGGACAGAGAGAGACGAGAGGCCGGCAGCTGCAAACAGCAGAGACAGTAATGACATGGTGGCTTCACAAAACTGTAAGTCCAGTTGTAGGGGAGCTTGTATTAGATTAAAAATGCTGCAGCCCTTAGACACAAGGTGCTGAACTACTATACGACCACATTGTTTGACCAAAGCTGGGGATGTGGTGAGAATATTTATACAAACATATGAAGGAGTAATTTTTGTCTGCCAGGATTGCGTAAGATCAAGTATCAGATAACCATATTTCTGAATGGAGCTTATTTGCCAGCCCAAAGGCTCCTTTGCCAGTTCTTTCATGTTCCCTTTGTGCTCTTACTGCTGCTTTGCCATGGAACTCAAATGTTTCCGAAGAAATAAATATGCAGGTTTGGGTGCATATTTACTCTTATGCTTCTGGTGGGTTTGTTGTAAACTGTCTCAACTCCATCAACAGCAACTTTGAAGAATTTGGTGATGGTGTAGCATTACTGATCAGACAGAGCCTGGACTGGAGCCACAATGGAAATCGT